TCCAAAAACATGTTAGAAAGAACTAGTACCTATAACAAATAAACTAACCTGTGTTCCAAAAACATGTTAGAAAGAACTAGTACCTATAACAAATAAACTAACCTGTGTTCCAAAAACCTTAAATTTTCTTCTTTTATTGACATCCAGTTAATTTTCTGGCCAATATAATTTGTAAAACATATGATACTACAGGTTCTTTACAATTCATTATGAAATATCTCAATGAAAAATAAGAGAATTATTAAAAGCGACTGTTGCCATGGTATAGCTATTACAGAATACATTTAATAATAAAAGGTACGTGTGTCTATGTATATATATATATACACATTGAAAGATGACTTCATGTGTACAATTTTATTTCTAAAACGATTACAAAATTTCAAATATAGTATTCGATGTTTTTAGGAAAAGCTTGAAAAATTATAAAACATTAGACTACACAAGTCGTTCACTATCTTTTACATTAGACTATAGGAGTCGTTCACTATCTTTTACATTAGACTATAGGAGTCGTTCACTATCTTTTACATTAGACTATAGGAGTCGTTCACTATCTTTTACATTAGACTACACAAGTCGTTCACTATCTTTTACATTAGACTATAGGAGTCGTTCATTATCTTTTACATTAGACTATAGGTGGCGTTCATTATCTTTTAAGATCTAAGCTCATTCGTCATCATCGTCACTTTCAATCACGTGCTTCTTCAATTTTCTGTGTGAAACATTCTTTTCAATGTCAGAGTCAGAATCCTCGTGTGAATCAGAATTTAACACGCTCATGGTACTTGCATGAATGAGCTCTGAAATGAAAAATTCGGAATATAAAATTTTCTTCAAATCGTTTGATATTAGCTAATGAATTTGACAACATAATGTTACAAAAGAACTAAGCTTGAAACGGACTTGCATCTTACTTCTTCGTGACAACACAAGTTACCGATATTCCAAGCATAATGTGTAAAATAGAAGTGTCTACCTACTGAAAATATGGTGTTTTTAGTTTTCTTTATCAAACACACACACACACACACAAGTATTTTTATATTACACATATTTCTCCAGTACTGTCTTATTCTTTACCACAAACAGGTTACAGGGTATGTAATGAAATTCGAGGCAATAAAATACTGCAATAAATTACGAAAAAAAAAATGTCGGCGGCAATGTTATATTACAAGTTAGTACGTGAACAACTGGAAACTGGAGAAACACAAAGTCACTGAGGGAAAAGTAAAAAAAAAAAAAGCGTCAATTACTGTCTCATTGGAATGAAAGATGTACACACAACGTTAAATTAAAACGATAACAATAAAAAGGAAAAAATCATTGTAATTAAATACTTAGTGTTTTTCACTTACGACTGCTCGATAACCCTTTTCGACTGATTTCCATCTGAGAAAGAATTAGAATATTCATGAGACTGCCGTTTCCACTCAGTTCGTGCTTCAAATACCGTTGCTCTTCGTTAGTTTTTTCTACCACTTCGTTTGTCTGTTTTTTAATTTCGCGCATAGCTACACGAGGGCTATCTGCGCTAGCCGTCCCTAATTTAGAAGTGTAAGACTAGAGGGAAGGCAGCTAGTCATCACCACCCACCGCCAACTCTTTACCAACGAATAGTGGGATTGACCGTCACATTATAACGCTCCCACGGCTAAAAGGGGCGAGCATGTTTGGTGTGACGGGGATTCGAACCCTCGACCCACAGATTGCGAGTCGAGTGCCCTAACCACCTGGCCATGCTGGGCCTCAATATGTAATAACTGGCAAAAAAAGAAACAGACAAAAAGTAAATATATAACTGTATAAATATTAATTTTGTAGACTTATTTGTACGACGAATCAGTTAAATTGAAGGTGTAATTCAAAAACTAATCACTTGTTGAGTTTTACGCTGCTTGGGGTGAAACCTAATATTTTCAACAATTATTTGAACAAGCCACGTGATGCAGAGTATCAAGGAAAAAACATGCTCAACGGGACATAGACAAAAGACATGCTATGGAAATCAGTTTCAATAAGATAATCAACTGACAATGCTCCTGTACGTTTTTCCCAATGCTTTACAACGTTAAGTTTGAAGGTTATAGAAAGGAATGAGTAAGTGTACGGGAGTTACACAAACTACAAAAACACTTCAGATTTTGTTTTTTTTTCATTTGTTATTACCATACAACATTTCGCCTTGCGGCTTCGTCACGGACACAATCTACACACAGTAGTATACAGAGTGGGTGTTGTTGAGTTGGAAGCTAGAACAAACGTGCACAGCAGACAAAGTAGTATTGATCTCTCTCTCTCACACACACACAACGTTAGAGTAACAATATTGTCTCTATCTACGTTTACTTGTTACAGACCATAAAATATAAAAGTGAAAACAATAACCTGGATATTGATATAATGTTTATATCACTGTATCTGCTTCGTCATTAATTAGTGAAACTAAGCCATTCCAGCAAAAAATAAAATTTATATAAAAGAAAAGATTGTAATTCAAGAAACAATCTGATAAGATCGTTCAAAATCTTAACGAGAAAACTACAATGTTTACTGACCAACACAACAACTGAAATGTCACAATCATGTTTTGATGAAAACCATACCCAACATTTGAAGTCAGCTTACTTAAATTATTTATCAAACATTATATGTAAGTCAGTTAACTGCATGATGTCTTTACTTAAAAATTTCAAACATCTGAAGTCGGTCAGCTTACTGTACCCTTAAACAGTTAATATAATTCAAAGTTAGCCACATAACAGTATTCCTAATTATACAATTTTTATAGTTAGCCAGCTGATTGCACCCTTACTTAAACATTTACATCTGAAGTCAGCCAGCCGAATGCCCTAATACTTAAACAGTTTTAGAAAATTCAGTTAGCCAGCTGATTGCACCATTACATGTAATTGTAGCCTTACTTAAACATTAACAAAATCTGAACCTTATTGCATATTCACTTATCAATGTAAAATAAACATGGAAAAAAAAGAAAGAAAATGTTACTATTTATTCTGTATTTTTTACCTCTACTATTCCAGTTTTCTTTATCACCATGTGGTGGTTGAGTATCTTCAAGATGTAAAGAGTCACCAGTGGTCATAAGTTCTTCTTCGGCTTCTCTCTGTACTTGAGAAATGTGTAATAAAGGAACGTCGTCGTCACTTTCTTCCTCCAAACGAACGATCCTCCTCTTCTTACTGGGCCGTTCCTGCAGGCTGCTTCTAAGATTAGATTCGTTTGCTCTGCTGTCATTAAAGCTCGACTTGCCGCTGGTAAGGCGATCGCTTTCTGCAAATGGCTCTACACTTTCGCTGCTACATCAAAAAAGGAGAACACCAAATATCACATGTGCTCCCACAAGAGTCGATTTCTGCTATTTAACCTAGCGAAACTAAACTGTGATTACGAGCCTAAAAAATCAAGTAAAAACAATTTTCCGTGTGCTAGATGACAGCGTTTAAGACAAGAGTCTTTAGATCAGACCAGTAAAGCAATCATTTACATCAAAAGAACAGCTCGCTCCAGTCTGTGTAATGAGTCCCAACATTACAGTTAACAATCTGGAAAAAGAAATGAACAAACCCAGACAAAGCTATCTGAAGAATATCTTAGTGTATCAAATATTCAATTCATCACAGCCTCGTATACATTATATAACACATTAATAAACTGGAAATATTACCAGACTTTATTTCTTAGATTTCATTACTTTTTACAATAAAATAACAAATTCTTCGAGAACGTTCTTAATACAGAATAATCAATAAGCACAATTAAATCACCTATTTGTGGGGAAAACATTACAAAATTACTGAGAATATATATATTACTGTCTTGTTGTAATCCATTAGCCAATGACTTTAATAATACCATGTAGCTTTTTCAATGATTAGTCAATGAGTGACAATACAATGAACACATTTGTTAACTGACCATGTAGTTGCTTCATGTTTGCCAATGACTAATAACACAATGAACACATTTGTTAACTGACCCTGAAGTTTCTTCATGTTTGCCAATGACTAATAACACAATGAACACGTTTGTTAACTGGCCCTGTAGTTGCTTCATGTTAGTCAATGACTAATTACACAAGAAACACATTTGTTAACTGACCCTGTAGCTTCTTCATGTTTGCCAATGACTAATAACACAATGAACATGTTTGTTAATTGACCCTGTAGTTGCTTCATATTTTCCAATGACTAATAACACAATGAACACATTTGTTAACTGACCCTGTGGTTTCTTCATATTTTCCAATGAATAATAACACAATGAACATGTTTGTTAACTGACCCTGTGGTTTCTTCATATTTTTCAATGGCTAATAACACAATGAACACGTTTGTTAACTGTCCTTGTGGTTACTTCATGTTTGCCATTGGCTAATAACACAATGAACACATTTGTTAACTGACCCTGTGCTTTCTTCATGTTTGCCAATGACTAATAACACAATGAACACATTTGTTAACTGGCCCTGTGGTTACTTCATGTTTGCCAATGACTAATAACACAATGAACACATTTGTTAACTGTCCCTGTGGTTACTTCATGTTTGCCAATGACTAATAATACAATGAACACATCTGTTAACTGGCCCTGTGATTTCATCATGTTTGCCAATGACTAATAACACAATGAACACATTTGTTAACTGACCCTGAGGTTTCTTCATGTTTGCCAATGACTAATAACACAATGAACACATTTGTTAACTGACCCTGTGCTTTCTTCATCAGATGATTCCTCCAACGACCTCTTTGACCTCTTTAACTCGCTCCTTCGGTCGCTACTAATTTCCTTAATGGAATTTTTTTTAGGATTAGGCTTGTCCTGTAGTCTGTAATGAAAAGATTAATAATAACACATAAATGCTTAAAGAAAATTCGTGTAAAATCAGGGTTGACAGATTTATCAAATGACCAGTAAATTGACAGCTTATTTTTGACTGGTCAAAACTAGTCACATAAGGTAATATCTGTATTAAACATCGTAAATACCCTTATATTAGCTGAGGTTACTTGAATAATTTTAGGCCCCAATGTCCCTCTCTACTTATCGATGAGTCTTGGAATCACAATCCTACAAATGGATCTTCAAAATTACCTGTGTTCAATTCAAACAATAAAAAGAAACTACTTTTTTTTTACATATTTTGTAAGTATTACGTATATATTAATGTAATATAATGCATAAGTTTAATGGGTCTCTGCTCTTCACTCAACGAAACCTTTAGAGGATAGTGATGTTAAACTATGCTGTATTACAATATCGTTGAAATTTATGCAACCAATAGCTACAAGTTTTAAACTTAGAATGTAACTTTACAACAATGATATATTATTAAAATCAAACATAATTATTTGGTATAATGACTGGTATCTACGATACACAGCATCAAAACGGTGGCGCTGTATGTAGCGCTGGTTTTATTGTTGTCGAAAGGCTAGAGAGGAACCTTAAACTGGTTCTTTATTTTTGTGTAATTAACGTTATTTACATTAAGTAAAATTCGTTATATATTAAGATAAGATAGAGAAAACAAATAAAATATTGAACCGTATTTGATATTATTCGACATATCAATCGATCGAGTTGTTTTAACCACTAAAATGTAATACACGTTGAATAATGTAATGTATCTTAGCGGGATCAATATGATAGTTTGTTTCAATGCAAAGCTACACAAAATGTTATCAGAGCTCTGTCCATTACGGAGAATCGAACCCACAATTTTAGAGCTGTAAGCCCGTAAGCTTACCGCTGACCTACTGTTTGTTTATTTGAACTTAAGCACAAAGCTACAGAATGAGCTATCTGTGTTCTGCCCACCACGGGTATCGAAACCCGGTTTCTAGTGTTATAAGTCCGCAGACATGCTGCTGTGCCACTGGGGGCGGGAGGGGAGGAAGAATATGATTAAACACATGAATTATAAGTTGAAACAAAACAATATATATAAATAGTAACTTATAAAAGCACGTATGATAGAAAGTTTAACAACGTTTAACTGTACATGTGTGTGTTAATAACAATTTATTACATCTTTTCATTGTTTGGTAGACAAAAGTACACTTCATATTTTCTTCAGTTGACAATCTACCTAACGGTACGAAACAATAAAAATCATGAAACAATCATATTTTTGTATATAAACTTCTGTGTCATTTAAAAAAAAAAGAAAGAGTTAAACAAGTATCGAATATCTTTGTAATTCCCGTACGTGCTCGTCATGCACGATAACACAGGTTCATACTCTAGTCCTCATAACAATTCTTGTGCTCGTCATGCACGATAACACAGGTTCATACTCTAGTCTTCATAACAGTTCTTGTGCTCGTCATGCACGATAACACAGGTTCATACTCTAGTCCTCATAACAATTCTTGTTTTTCTTCTGTCTTGTCTTGTTTATTAAAAAGTTTAACTCGCACTGAGTTGGTGTGATCGTTTCTAACTAGTTGTAAATGTACACGTGGTGGTAAGCTGAAGGAAGAGCGACATATTTCAACCAAGAAGTTGAAAACTGCTCTAAGTGCTGCTGCGCGATATTCTGATTACTGTTAAGTGTCAACTTTATGCAATACTTCCCTCAACTTAACGCTATCCATCAGTTTAATTCATATACTATTATAAACGTAGAACAAGAGAAAAATTAAAGCATTTGTTGGGAAAGCAATATAGATCTGGTCACTTAATAGTACGGAATTTATGCAGAGGTGTAGGAGGCAAATTAAAAGTGAGGTGTTCAAAATTTATTTGATTGAGCGAAGCGAGGGAATATGCACCACAGGCGCACCCATTATGGCCGAGATCCACGACTCGCCTAGGGCTCTGGAAGCCCTTGGGTTCTGGATTAAATTTCATGCATCTTTTCCTTTTCCTGATAAAATTTCCTAATTTTGATACATTTTAACTGGAACACATTGAAAGGTGGGGGATCCTGGGCCCACCGCTTCCTACGTCACTGTTATATATTTGTTGTTTGACCGGCCAGTGGGTAAGTAATACAAATTTAAATTTACTAATATATTTTGTTGGGAACAATATGTTTTAGAGTAAAGCTAAACGGTGGGTATTTTTGGCGCTCTGTCCCCCTAATTCTATCGTTTATGTCAGCAAACGTACCACTAGCCTTGGAATACTTTTCGCTAACGATTTATTTGTCTACTGAGACAGTTTGTTTGTTTTGAATTTCGTGCAAAGCTACACGAGGGCTATCTGCGCTAGCCGTCCCTAATTTAGCAGTGTAAGACTAGAGGAAAGGCAGCTAGTCATCACCATCCATCGCTAACTCTTCGGCTACTCTTTTACCAACGAATAGTGGGATTGACCGTCACGTTATAACGCCCCCACGGTTGAAAGGGCGAGCATGTTTGGTATGACGGGGATTCGAACACGCGACCCTCAGATTGCAGGTCGAGCGCCCTAACCACCTAGCCATGCCGGGCCTCAGTTTGTTTAGAAGAAATTATTAATAAAACACTAATCTGGAGGAGATAACAGATTAAGCATTAGTTTCCGTGAAGAAAAGACGTCAATTAACAAGCATCTATAAAGGTTATAATAGCTTGCTAATTCGCATATAGGTTATACACACTAATGTCCAATAAAAAAAATATATACTTTCAGTGCCATAAACAAGCTTACCCTAATACATTATCATCGTGAACTTCCCCTGAAGCCTGCTTGCTTTTCGCCAGATTCGACAACATCTGGTATCGAGGATTTAATTTCTTTGTGCTGTTCGAAGTTTCTGCAGATGTGAAATCTCCTGAGATCGCTTTGTTCAAAACATTTACTCTTGTTCTCAACATTCTGACACTCAAATTTACTGGAATTCGCCAAAAAGTTTCCTATAAATGAAAACATATCATAACATAAAATAAAAATTGTTCGTGACAGTAAGAGTTGTTTTTTTTACGATGAAGAGAAAAGATAAAAAGATTAGATCACTATATTTGCCTTCCTTTGAGAATAGAGTTCGAATCAAAATGGCAGACGTTTTAACACCTCTAGGGAGTCGGCTCCATGTACTTCAGTACAATGATACAATGTCATTACAATAGTACACGACTATCTAATATCATGGCTTTCCCGAAAAGCATTACGGGAATGGTGATCTAACCCATCTTTCTACCAAATCCTAAGAGAACAACAACAACAAGGTTATAATACAAGTCAATTTTGGAAAATCAAATAGGTTAAAATAAGTTCGAGAGTTTTAACCAACTTGTATAACAAAACCAAACATCAAGGAATAGTAAACGTACTTCGCATGAACTAAATAACTAACTGGTCTAACCATCACACACAAGTAATGTGTGGGCGAATAAACACCATTCTACAGCTTGTAAAGTAAACAAATTATACTGACAAACATCACGGCTAAGAAAAAAAAAAAAACAATCCAAATAAACAATAAAGCTAACATTTACAATGCTAAGTTTCTGTTCACTATGACGCACGCTATTCACATCTAAAACTGTACAACGAACGATAATTATGATATAATACTGATATTAACACCTAATATCTACAATTATCAAATATAACATCATGTGTATTATGATTCGTTTGTTTTGAATTTCGCGCAAAGCTACACCAGGGTAATCTGCGTTAGCCGTCCCTAATTTAGTAGTGTAAGACTAGAGGGAAAGCAGTTAATAAACACCATCCACCGCCAACTCTTGGGCTACTCTTTTACCAACGAATAGTGGGATTGATCGAAACGTTATAATGCCTAAACGGTTGAAAGGGCGAGCATGTTCGTTGTGACAGGAATTCGAGCCCGCAACTCTCAGATTGCGAGTCTAACCAGAAGGCAATGCCAGGCCTCGTATTATGTATGAACGACCTATTTTTAACCTTATGAATAACTTCTGAATTTGATTGAACTTTACGGCAAATTTATGTTATAATAGAAATATAAATAATTTAAAAACTCACATGTAAATAAAGCACATAAATACTGTCTGCATATTTACAATTTAAACTAAAACTGATAATAAATTAAAGTACAATAACATAAGAAATAAGTTTACCTTTGGCCAATCAGCAGTAATAGACGTGAAAATAATGAATCGTATGCTAAACTAATAACACAGTTTGCAATTGGAATGCGTATTCTTCTAAACCTAAAATACTTATTCAATTCAGTAAAATAAAAAATTATAAATAGCTATTATGATATAATAAGTGCAGTTTAAAATTGTTATCGATAAAGTAAAACAAACGTTTATCGCTCAAATGAGACAATAATAATAATAATAACAAAATCATAAACAGGGGAAGACATAATAGATCATAAGTAAATATATGACTGTTTGATGACGACACAAGCAACACAGTATCTCTATATACAACTTTTGTAAATACAAATTACTTGGTATGGCACAACTTGCTAACTGGAGCCCCATCAAAGTTGGCGTCGTATTAGCATAAATGACATTTTCGGGAACGTGCTCTAGTAATGTAGTCTTCCCGAACAAACTACTGTTACATTGATGCATATATATATATATATATACACGAACCTGTTCATTTGCAGGCGAGCAAATTCCCATAGTTTTCATTAACTTACAGAAGTCTTGATTGGTCAATGCTTGGTGGTGGTCTTCAGTGAGTGGAACAAGAGGTACGGCTTCCGGCTCGTCTGTAAAGATGAATCACAAAAACAATAAGATTCATCACGGAATGAAAGCTTAATTGAGAAGTGTTAACACATTTACAGATAAAGAGAATGTTTGAAACATAAACTTTTAATGAAAAAACTACTGGAATGAAGTTAGTATATTTACGTAAATCCTCTGACAGATTAGCATCAAGACAGTGATACAAATATAATAAAGAGACTGACAGAACGTCCACAGATTAATAGATCAGGACAGTATTTCGATCAAACTTTTAATGATAAACTACTGAACTGAATTTAATATATTTACCTAAAATCTCTGACAAATTAGCATTATGACAGATATAATAATCAGACTGACAGAACGTCAACACGTTAATAGTTCAGGACGGTGTTTCAGACACAAAAATTTAATGAAAAACAAAGAATACACTAAATGAATAACGAATATTATACAATCGACGACAGATTAGCTAAAATACATAGATTTTGATCACAAGTTATATTTGAAAGAAATACTCAGTTAATTAGCAGTTTTTTCTATTATTTTCTGTGATTATTGTTACAAGAAAGTATAAATACAAAGAATTTACACTGTTACAAGTAGTTAAGTTTTGTTTGAAAAAAGAACAAAACGTAGAAATGTAATCAAATATCACTCTTGACTTTAAGTTTTAAAAATACACAATATTTCGCAAGCAAGATATTCTACAATAAATTATTAGGAACTAATCACACTATCATTCAAATTTCAAAATGGGACAACTTAAAGAATAAAAATATAGATTTATCGTATGTTATTGTTGAGCGGCTCTTAGCATGACTGAAATGCTCAACAATTATATTTTGTGGTGGGTGGTATAAGTAGCTCAGAGTGAAACCAAGAGTGCAACACAATTAGCCCTTTTAAAGTCCGTGAAATAATTTAAATTAATAGATTAACTAAAACTTTTTCCGTCACTGGGGACGGGTACTTTTACTTGTTTGTCATATGATCAATCACTGGTTAACACAGATCGTTAATTGGTTACAAGGATAAGTAATAGGTTGAACATTAACTTGTTTTATAATTAGTCACAAATTGAATATATCGTTAATTTGCCATAGGTACCTTACTTGTAAACGGATGTAAAAAATATTCGAACCAGCTATCACTCTTAAAATATAAATAACATTCAGTTCTTCACGATAACAACAATATAAACTATACTATTTACAGTCTTTTTACATGGACTAAAAATTTTTATTTCCTATATATGTACGATTTGTGTATTTGTAGTTAAGCTCAGCTCATCACGGGTATCAAAACCCGGTTTCTAGCGTTGTAAGTCCGCAGACTTACCGCTGTGCTACTAGGGGGACATATGTACGAGCACTTTAACGGAATTACAGTAGCTACAGCGTTGAATATTTGTCATCAAAGTTCAAATTCCAACAGTCTGTTCATTCCAGTTGCAATACTGTTCCAATTTCCCCTGTTATACTCCATTATCGAATCAACCAATTACAGGCAAACTTTCCTCTCCGTAGTACATATAGTTTTATAGCTTATGAAATAGTTTGTAGATAAAATTATTAAATACATTGTTTTGCATTGGCTGTTTTATAGCAAAGACACACTGAGCTATCTGCTATGTCCACTGCAGGGACTCGAACACGGATTTTAGCATTGTAAATCCGCAGTCTTACCGCTGTCTCACCTGGAGACTATTAAATACATCATTTACATAGAACTAAACATTCACTGTGTTAAACATACATTACAAAATCTTGATCAATCTAGTATGTTACTAATAAGTTACGTTTTTAAAATCTTTAATATTATAAATTACAGTTGCTCTTTCATCTTTAGTATTACTGGCTACCTAAAAATATTTGGGCTTCCGTTCTAAAACGAAATGCTGGTTGACAGCTCAAGAGTAATGTCTTAACATGGTAGCATGACTTCACAGTTAAAGACTGTCGGACAATTGGGGAATGATTGATTAACTGGCTACCTAAAAATATTTGGGCTTCCGTTATAAAACGAAATGCTGGTTGACAGCTCAAGAGTAATGTCTTAACATGGTAGCATGACTTCACAGTTAAAGACTGTCGGACAATTGGGGAATGATTGAGGATGGGTTATTTCTTTCTACTGTCTTATGGGCCAAAAAGGACATCCTCTAAAGGCCCTCAGTTCATCATCTGAGGAAAAGAACCAGTTGAATTGCATCGTGGATTTAAAAGAACCAGGAGTAACCACCATCTTAATTAATCAATTGAAGAAACTTCTCAGGAGTTGTGGTTATAATATAAAATTAAATAAAATCAACGATGTCTAAAAACCAGAATAAAAACTTTATTTAAAGCCTGAAGGAACCCAGTTAAAAACAACACTACATGTTTCAACTTCATAAATTCAAGCATCGTTCTGCAAACTTCGCTGTAATTCTATATTCTGATACATGTACAAATTCTGACATGTGTTTAAGTTTGTTTGTTTGTTATGAATTTCGTGCAAAGCTACACGAAGGCTATCTGCGCTAGCCGTCCGTAATTTAGCAGTGTAAGACTAGAGGGAAGGCAGCTAGTCATCACCAACTCTTCGGCTATTCTTTTACCAACGAATAGTGGGTTTTACCGTCACATTATAATGCCTTCACGGCTGAAAGGGCGAGCATGTTTGGTGGGACGGGGATTCGAACCCGCGACCCGCAGATTGCGAGTCGAGCGCCCTCACCACTTGGCCATGCCGGGCCCATGTGATTATGACATCATAAAACATACAAACATAACTAAATTACGATGTCGATGCATGTAGTGTTGTGTTTAACTACGCCTCTGTAGCCCTTAAATAAAATACTGAATAAAGTTTTCCATATCATTCAATTTCTTTGATTTTAAATAATCAAGTAGTCACCATGTTGTGGTCAGAAGTTAAATGTCATATTATTTAGACAATATAAAATATTTGACATATAGCCTACTTTATAATTAAAATTATACGAATTTTTTAAGATATTCAGTATACAAGCGTTTTGAAAAATAATATGAAAACAAATTTTTACATCTTTAGTTGATCTTGCTTTTACTAAAATATAGCCTCTTACCATCATTTTCATCTTCGTCTTCTCGATCCTCTATTGCGCTTTCCAGAGATAATTTTAGCCACTGGAGTCCTGGTTCTAATCCTGTCAAATGTTAAAAAAGAACATTTTGTCAAAATCATCACAAAAACTCTTAGTACGAAATGGTTGAAAAAACTGAAGATAAAACACCGAGATGAAAGGTCGTTCTATTTTATTATCTGGAGAGTTAGTGAACATCACCAGAAGCTATAACGGTTTAGCTTTAAACATTCACTGAGCTTCAAGTTTAAACGACGATGGGACTAACAAAGCAATACTTGGGTCTTAAACGATCAACTTTTCTAGTCACACCCGGATCCTACTTTAGTCCTCCCCAATTTTAGTGCTAGTTATACGACAGCAATAAACTACAGTTCCATTGAAAAAGGATGAACGTACTGAATTTCGTAAAAGCGTTAATGTTGGCAGAAATATTAACATTCAAGAGGTTGGTGTGACATTATTTGGTTCGGTTTTAAATAGCTATGTGCACTCTTCGTAAAACATACCAAAAACAAACCATTTGTTCTCATGTGAATTGTGGGCAACTATGAAAGATTCATGGGTCTTAAGGTACTTAATATTGCCATACTTCAAAATAATACATTTTGCATGAAAAATTTTCACACAATCGCACCCATAAAATAAGTAAAATAATGCTAAACCATGTTAAAGTTGCAAACCACAGAACAGTTTTTCATTTTAATAAAAATTATATGGTTAAACTTTAATATCCATGCTAAAGGTAAAACTTTAGACTAACTCGTGTTTAGATATTCCAAATGCAAAACTCAGCAAGTCAGTTTTTCATGGCTGGTCTCTAAAATAATCATATCTTCGCAAAACCTCAATCTTTAAACAAACAGTTTTTTTTTATTAAGTTCTAGTTGTAAAGTATTACCTACAATGGAACCAACCTGATTCCAAAACTTTCTGCAATAGGTCTTTAAATTTGGAAGAATCAATGGTTTCGCAAGTATCGAATACATCTTGTGATTCGATCTCACTTTCAGATTCCATCTCGTCTTGAAAGAATTCTCCTGCAGATGTAAGAAAAATAGTCATAAATAATAACACTAAACATAAAACATTTATGGACATATAAAAAAAGGTTTTTGTTGGCTTTTATTTCGCAACTACATGAATAAATAATCATAATTGTGTTATGACAAATGTAACCTGGTTCTTTCTTTATTCTTATATTTTTACTAGTAAGAATTGCTGTATAACACATTGTTCTCTCAGTGCTGAGAACGGCTGTATAACACGTTGTTCTCCCAGTGCTGAGAATTGCTGTATAATACATCGTTCTTCCCGTGCTCAGTACTATAAAAATCAACTTAATAATGAAAACATTAATCCGAAGGATTTTATAATTAAGTATTTTAGTCTTTATTTGAATAAATATGATAAGGATAAATGTAAGTATTATTATGTTTTGTAAACATTAGTTAGCCTCAGTAAAGAAAACAATGATACATTGAACTTTAATACATGAAGTTCTAAAAACAAAAGAAGCAATTTGCTATATCATCGTATAAACGTATCTGAGGCAGGCTAATTTAATTCCTCGGTCAACAATACCACCAAATTTACAGTTCAAATTTAACACTGATTTAGGGATAAAATACATTCAGCACAATAAGTCAGGCGACCGGTAAAAATGAAATCTGTATTTTCAGTAAGTTATGACAAATAATATATTTTAGTTTATGCCATATATATATATATACATAACTTGCCTACAAGTAACATTTAATTCAGACTGCAATATTTTCATTTAAAAAAAGTATTGCTGTTTCTAGATGGTTTCGGAATCAAAACTATAACTGAATGCATATCTTCATAAATAAAACGTAACTACGTTGTACGTGTAGAACGTACAATCTGTTGTAAATATTTGAATGATATAAACAGACATAACGAGACTACATTGTAAGTATAAAACTTACAACCTGGTGTAAATATTTGAAATCCTGTGCACCAGTATCAAGGCAATGTGAGGATGTGCGCTACTAGTTTTTGTGTTTTTTTTTCATGTGCACCAGTATCAAGGCAATGTGAGGATGTGCGCTACTAGTTCTTGTGTTGTTTTTTTTTATGTGCACCAGTATCAAGGCAATGTGAGGATGTGCGCTACTAGTTCTTGTGTTGTTTTTTTTT